CACCCCCCATCCACCAACCCACCCCCCCTACCCACCCCCCATCCACCACCCACCCACCAACCCACCCACCACTAACCCACCCACCCACCCACCATCCCACCCACCACTAACCCACCCACCAACTCATCAATCCCCCCTTCTCACCACCCACCCCTAACCCATCCACCCCCCCCCCCATCCACCACCCATCACCAACCCACCCACCAACCCACCCACTATCCATCCACCAACGAACAAACGCACCCATCACCAACCCACCCACCAACCCACCCACCAACCCACCCACCCACCCACCACCAACCCACCCACCAACCCACCCACCCATCACCAACCCACCAACCCACCCACCCACCCACCCACCAACCCACCCACCCACCCACCCACCACCAACCCACCCACCGACCCATCCACCCACCCACCAACCCACCCACCCACCACCAACCCACCCACCCACCCACCAACCCACCCACCCACCACCAACCCACCGACCCATCCACCCACCCACCCACCCTCCCACCCACCAACCCACCCACCCACCCACCACCAACCCACCCACCGACCCATCCACCCACCCACCAACCCACCCACCCACCACCAACCCACCCACCCACCCACCAACCCACCCACCCACCACCAACCCACCGACCCATCCACCCACCCACCCACCCTCCCACCCACCAACCCACCCACCCACCAACCCACCCACCCACCACCAACCCACCCACCAACCCACCCACCCACCCATCACCAACCCACCAACCCACCCACCCACCCACCCACCAACCCACCCACCCACCCACCACCAACCCACCCACCGACCCATCCACCCACCCACCAACCCACCCACCCACCACCAACCCACCCACCCACCCACCCACCGACCCACCCACCCACCACCAACCCACCGACCCATCCACCCACCCACCCACCCTCCCACCCACCAACCCACCCACCCACCCACCACCAACCCACCCACCCACCACCAACCCACCCACCGACCCATCCACCGACCTACCCACCCACCCTCCCACCCACCCACCCACCACCAACCCACCCACCCACCACCAACCCACCCACCGACCCATCCACCGACCCACAAACCCACCCACCCACCCTCCCACCCACCCACCCACCCACCAACCCACGTCTCGAGTTTCCTGATCTCCCGGTCGCGCCCCGAAAGAATTCCACACAGTCGAGCTTAGCGCATCCTGCACCGCCCCGCAGCCTCTGACGTCACAGACGAACCCCCACCCCCCCCACCCCCGGGCGCTCCGGGCCCACCTGACCCACCCACCCACCCACGTCGCCACGCAAACCGAACCAAAACAAAAGATGTTCCTACGCGCAAGCCCAGCCATTGTAATCGCTCGCTCGCTCGATCGACGGCAACTTGCTGGCGGATAGGGCCTCTTCGCTTCTACGAGTGGAGAGGTTTTGCTTGGACTACCTCGTCCACGGCTGGTCAAGTTGAAACCAACAAATAAACTAAACTGTGAAGGTTTTAAATTTTGATTTAAAGCTTTCGTGACTGCAGGGATTCATATTCTTGGTTCTTTCGGTGACTTTACCGAAAGAACCAAGAATATGAGTATTTTTTTGTTTGGTTACCTACGAACTAGACTTTGTATTATATGAGGTGAAGCCCCCACTGTTAGGGGCCGCCCATACATGACGTCACGCACCTAGCGGGGGGGGGGGGGGAGTCAGATATTTGTGACGATGTGTGACGAGCGGGGGGGGGGGGGGGTTCAAAAATCGTCCGAAATCGTGTGACGTCATTTATGGACGGCCCCTAATGGTTATTTTTCAAAAGTGACATGGAGATCGCAAATTATAGCTTCAACCACGTGGGCGTGTCGTCATCATCATCATCACAGTGCGGTCACTTGCAGCAACAGCCAAAGACTCTGAACGCGTGACGTCGATTCTAAATTAGGAGGGGAAAAAACGGAGGTTCCGGAGAAGAATCCACGCGACCACTGAGAGAGAGAGAGAGACACGCAAACTTAAAATATACAGCAGCAGGCGTCAGGGTCGGGATCGAACCCAGGACCTCCTATACACCAAGCGAGGTAGTTAACATCTCCTAGCCACCGTGATGATGATGAGAGAGAGACACACAAACTCCAAATATACAGCAGCAGGCATCAGGGTCGGGATCGAACCCACGAATATCCTGTATACCAGGCGAGGTAGTTAACATCTCCTAGCCACCGTGATGATGATGAGAGAGAGAGACACGCAAACTCCAAATAAACAGCAGCAGCAGGAGTCAGGGTCGGGATCGAACCCACGACCTCCTGTATACCAGGCGAGGTAGTTAACATCTCCTAGCCACCGTGATGATGATGAGAGAGAGACACGCAAACTCCAAATATACAGCAGCAGGCATCAGGGTCGGGATCGAACCCACGAATATCCTGTATACCAGGCGAGGTAGTTAACATATCCTAGCCACCGTGATGATGATGAGAGAGAGAGACACGCAAACTCCAAATATACAGCAGCAGCAGGAGTCAGGGTCGGGATCGAACCCACGACCTCCTGTATACCAGGCGAGGTAGTTAACATCTCCTAGCCACTGTGATGATGATGCGAGAGAGAGACACGCAAACTCCAAATATACAGCAGCAGGCGTCAGGGTCGGGATCGAACCCACGACCTCCTGTATACCAGGCGAGGTAGTTAACATCTCCGAGCCACCGTGATGATGATGAGAGAGAGACATGCAAACGCCAAATATACAGCAGGCGTCAGGGTCGGGATCGAACCCACGACCTCCTGTATACCAGGCGAGGGAGTTAACATCTCCTAGCCACCGTGATGATGATGAGAGAGAGAGACACGCAAACTCCAAATATACAACAGCAGGCGTCAGGGTCGGGTTCGAACCCACGACCATTCTGTGTACCAGGCGAGGGAGTTAACATCTCCTAGCCACCGTGGATTGGGGAAATGGTGAGAGTTACCCACGTGTTTAACCCCACCGCGGCTACGCGACCAGTCAATTGCAAACGAACTGGTGGTGATGGAATCCGTGAACACTGCTGGGTGGACTGAGTTGGCGGCTGCGGCGGTGGTGAAGATTTAAGCCGCTTGGAATGCTGCTTCAGCTGGGTTGGCGAACTGGGTCCTGGGTCTTGTCCCAGGGTCTGGGTGTGTCTCTCCCGCTCAGCGGAATTCATAAATGGCCATGTCGGAGACATGAAGCCAGCATCGTTGAAATAATGGGGGTTTGAGCTCTGGGTCTGGGCGTCTCTCTCTCTAAAACATGGTTCATAATGGCCAAGTCAGAGACTCTGAACAAATACAGCTGAGATCTTTGCGGTTTGAGCCCTGGGTCTGGGTGTCTCTCTCTCTAATACACGGTTCATAATGGCCAAGTCAGAGACTCTGAACAAGCACAGCTGAGATCTTGGGGGGTTTGAGATCTGGGTCTGGGCGTCTCTCTCTCTAATACATGGTTCATAATGGCCATGTCAGATAGACTCTGAACAAGCACAGCTGAGATCTTGGGAGGTTTGAGATCTGGGTCTGGGTGGTTCTCTCTCTAATACACGGTTCATAATGGCCATGTCAGAGACTCTGAACAAGCACAGCTGAGATCTTGGGGGTTTGAGATCTGGGTCTGGGTGTCTCTCTCTCTAATGCACGGTTCATAATGGCCATGTCAGAGACTCTGAACCAGCACAGCTGAAATCTTGGGGGTTTGAGCCCTGGGTCTGGGCGTCTCTCTCTCTAATACACGGTTCATAATGGCCATGTCAGAGACTCTGAACAAGCACAGCTGAAATCTTGGGGGTTTGAGATCTGGGTCTGGGTGTCTCTCTCTCTAATACACGGTTCATAATGGCCATATCAGAGACTCTGAACAAACACAGCTGAAATCTTGGGGGTTTGAGCCCTGGGTCTGGGTGTCTCTCTCTCTAATACACGGTTCATAATGGCCATGTCAGAGACTCTGAACCAGCACAGCTGAAATCTTGTGGGTTTGAGCCCTGGGTCTGGGCGTCTCTCTCTCTCTAATGCACGGTTCATAATGGCCATGTCGGAGACTCTGAACAAGCACAGCTGAAATCTTGGGAGTTTGAGCCCTGGGTCTGGGTGTCTCTCCTGTCTCTCTCTGTCTCTCACACACAAACAGGGGGTCACATGATGGGCGTGTGGGAGACGGCAGTAATTCAATTCGGAATTTTAAAAGTGCTCGCGTAAAACGTCGCTGGCGCGCGTATTTGCGTGTGCCTGTGTGTGTGCGTGACTGCGTGTGTGTGTGTGCGGGTGACTGTGTGTGTGTGCATGTGTGTGTGCATGTGTATGTGCGTGTGTGTGTGCGTGTGACTGTTTGTGTGGTGTGTGCATTATGTGTGTTTGCGTGTCTGCGTGTGTGTGTGTGCGTTTGACTGTGTGTGGTGTGTGCATGTGTGTGTGCGTGTGCGTGTCTGCGTGTGTGTGTGTGCGTGTGACTGTGTGTGTGCGCGTGTGTGTGCATGTGTGTGCGTGTGTGTGCGTGTGTGTGTGCGTGTGACTGTGTGTGTGGTGTGTGCATTATGTGTGTTTGCGTGTCTGCGTGTGTGTGTGTGCGTTTGACTGTGTGTGGTGTGTGCATGTGTGTGTGCGTGTGCGTGTCTGCGTGTGTGTGTGTGCGTATGACTGTGTGCATGTGTGTGTGCGTGTGTGTGGGGAGCGGTAGTGTAGCGGTTAGCGCTCTTTGCTACGAACCTGGCGACCCGAGTTCAATCCCCGCTCACGGCCAATCCCGGTAACGATTATCTGAACCGGTACTGGGCCTCCCTTAGGTCGACCCAGCCTGAAATGAGTACCTGGTGCGGTGTGTAAAAACATCGCCACCGGGAAGACAAAGGCGGCCGGGCGCGGTATTGGCCACCCCACCCCCTCGTGTGCCTTGCCGGCCTTCGTAGGTGCTCGCGAACAGCACTTGCCCCAGAGGCCGTTGCAGGCTACACGGGGGACCTTTGTCTGTTGCCCTGTGGACTCACCCAGTGCTCTGGGGTTCACCATCGACCGCCGTCGCCTCGCCTCGCCTCCTCTCCTGCTGCGTGCGAGGGGAGAAACACACGGGGCACTGGGGTCAGCTGCTGAGTGCGGCGGTCGTGGGATTACACAGTCGTCGTCATCAACTAGCCAGGGTCAATCCACTGCTGGATTGAGGCCTCCTGCCCAAGCCTCCTTCACCTCCATCATCATCAACCAGCCAGGTTAAATCCATTGCTGGATGGAGGCTTCCTGCCCAAGCCTCCTTCACCTCCATCATCATCATCATCAACCAGCCAGGTTAAATCCACTGCTGGATTGAGGCCTCCTGCCCAAGCCTCCTCCATCTCCATTATCAACTAGTCAGGGTCAATCCATTTCCTTAAAACTGCATTAAACTTTAGTTTGTTGTCCTTCCCATGCACCTCTGAATGGGCGCTACAGCGCAAACAAGTTCAACGAACACACAAATCCCAGATTATACCGGAACATGTCTTCATCATGCAAATATATAGGGTTTTTGTTTGGAGAGGGGGTATTGGGTGGGAGGGGTGGCATTGAATCAGGGTAGTTGCACCGCAGTTTACTTTTTGTAGTTAAACAATCGCGAGCAAACAACAAAAATAGCGACGTGACAATTGGCGTCCGAGACGACAACTGTGAACGTCGATGAGCGTCGAGGGCGTCGTCCGAAATCGGAGTTCTCGACCACAGCCACCGCGGAGACGCACCCAGCCAGAGGCACCCGTGGAGGCCCCAACACACACACACACGTGGTGGTGATGGTGGTCACACCAACACACACACACACACGTGGTGGTGGTGGTGGTGGTCACACCAACACACACACACACACGTGGTGGTGGTGGTGGTGGTCACACCAACACACACACACACGTGGTGGTGGTGGTGGTCACACCAACACACACACACACACGTGGTGGTGGTGGTGGTGGTCACACCAACACACACACACACACACGTGGTGGTGATGGTCACCCCAACACACACACACGTGGTGGTGGTGGTCACACCAACACACACACACACACCTGGTGGTGGTGATGGTGGTCACACCAACACACACACACACGTGGTGGTGGTGGTGGTCACACCAACACACACACACACGTGGTGGTGGTGGTGGTCACACCAACACACACACACGTGGTGGTGGTGGTCACACCAACACACACACACGTGGTGGTGGTGGTCACCCCAACACACACACACGTGGTGGTGGTGGTGACACCAACACACACACACGTGGTGGTGGTGATGGTCACACCAACACACACACACACGTGGTGGTGGTGAACGACACTTTGACAGAGGGTTTGGCGAGATAACCCTCGATGATTCTGTGTGCGACGCGGTTCGCTACTCTTACCCCCACCCCCCCACCACCACCCTCCACCACCACCCACACCACCACCCCACCACCACCCACACAACACCCACACCACCACCCACACCACCACCCCACCACCCCACCACCACCCCCCCACCCCACCCCCCTACCACTACCACCCCCCCACCCTCACCCCCCCACCCCCACCCTCCCCCCCACCCTCCCCCCCCACCACTACCACCCACACCACCCCCCACCACCACCCTCCCACCACTACCACCCACAACACCACCCCACCACGCCCCCCCACCACCCCCCGCCCTAACCCTCCCCCCCACCACTACCACCCACACCACCCCCCACCACCCCCAACCCCCACCACTACGACCCCCCCACCCACCACCTCCCCCACACCCCTTGACCCCCCCCCCACCCCACCCCCCTACCACTACCACCCACACCACCCCCCACCCACCACTACCACCCACCTCACCCCCCCCACCACTACCACCTCCCCCACACCCCTTCACCACCCCCCCCACCCCCCTACCACTACCACCCACACCACCCCCCACCACCCCCCCACCCACCACTACCACCCACCTCACCCCCCCCACCACTACCACCTCCCCCACACCTTTTCACCCCCCCCCCCCGCCACGTTTCCCCCATCCGCTTTCGAGGCGCTCTCGTGCGCGCGACCCGAGTTGTCGAATGGCATCGGAGTCGTTCACGGTGACGCCACTTCGCCCGTAAACCCTGCAGAGGCTTGAGGGTGGGGAGGGGGTGGGGAGGGGGTGGGGGGCATGCCGAGGCTCTGCTGCGCTGTTCGTTCGACGCAACACACCCGTCCGCAATAAACCCCCCACCAACCCCCCCCCCCCAAACCCCCCCCCCCCCCCCAGGGATGACATCTCGACTTTTTTTAGCACTCACTCTGCCATGAGCTGGAAACTCGGCGTGCGTGGCTTTGCGAGCTGTCGACCAAGCGCAGGCTGTCGTGAGCTCACTCGGCGCTCGAAAAAAATTACAAAAAGACAAAGACACCCCCCCCCCGTATTGCCTTTAACAGACTGTTGGGGCAAGTGCTGTAAGAGAGCACTTTCGAAGGCCGGAACGGCACACGAGGGGGTGGGTGGCCGACACCGCGCACCGCGGCCTTTGTCTCCCCAAGTGCCGATGTTATTCACCGCACCAGGTACCCATTTGTGGCTGAGTCGACCGAGGGGAGGTCCAGGACCGGTTCAGATAATCGTCACCGGTGTTGGCCGTGAGCGGGAATCGAACTCGAGTCGCCGGGTTCGTAGCGCAGCGCGATAACTGCTACACGACAGCTCCCCACTCACTCACACACTCACTCGCTCACTCACTCAATTACTGCCTCACACACTCACTCACATGGTCACACGCTCACTCACATGCTCACTCGCTCCCTTGCACACTCACTCACACACTCACTCGCAAATTCACACACTCACTCACTCCCACACTCACTAGCTCGCACATTCACACACTCACTCGCACATTCACACACTCACTCATTCACGTGCTCACTCACTCACGCACTCGCCCGCACACTCACACACTCACTCGCTCGCTCGCACACTCACTCACATACTCACTCGCTCGGACATTCACACACTCCCTCAGTCGCTCGCTCGCATACTCACTCGCTCGCACACTCACTCACTCGCACACTCACGCACTCACATACCCACTTACTCGGATACTCACACGCTCACTCACCCGCTCGCGCACTCACTCGCACACTCACGCACTCACATACCCACTTACTCGCGCACTCACACGCTTCACTCACGTGCTCACTCATTCACTCGCAAAACTTGTGGGAAGTGGCTGGGGGTGGGCTAGTGGACGAACCTGGTGGTGCTGGAAGACGTCACGTGGCATGCTGGAAAGCGCTCTGCAATGACAAAGCAAACCAGAGCGCCGTTAGTCCCCTGAGTGTCGTTAGTTCCCCCGACAGACTTAAATGACGCTAACAACTCCAACAACCAAAGGCAAAATGTGTTGTTCCATAGTGGCAATCGCCCAATCAACCACCAACTCACCAACCAACTCACCCACTCATCCACTTACTTTATCACGCACTCACCCACTCACTCACCCACCCACCCACTCACCAACCCACTTACCCACCCACCCACTGCTCACTTTCTCATGTACTCACCCACTCACTCACCCACCCACCAACTCACCAACCCACCAACCCACTCACCCATCCACTCACTTTCTCACTCACTCACCCAACAACCAACCAACCAACCAACCCACTCACCCACCCACCTGCTCACTTTCTCATGCACTCACCCACTCACTCACTCACCCACCCACAAACTCACCAACCCACTCACCCACCCACTCACTTTCTCATCCGCTCACTCACTCACCCACCCACCAACCCACCAACCCACCAACCCACTCACCCACTCATCCACTCACTTTCTCACGCACTCACCTACTCACTCACTCACCCACCAACTCCCCAACCCATTTACCCACCCACCCACCTGCTCACTTTCTCATGCACTCACCCATTCACTAACCCACCCACCAACTCACTAACCCACTCACCCACCCACTCACTTTCTCATCCACTCACTCACCCACCCACCAACCCACCAACCCACTCACCCACTCATCCACTCACTTTCTCACGCACTCACCTACTCACGCACTCACCCAACCACCAACTCCCCAACCCACTTACCCACCCACCCACTGCACACTTTCTCATGTACTCACCCATTCACTCACCCACCCACCAACCCACTAACCCACTCACCCACCCACTCACTTTCTCATCCACTCACTCACCCACCCACCCACCAACTCACCAACCCACTCACCCATCCACTCACTTTCTCACGCACTCACCCACCAACCAACCAACCCACTCACCCACCCACCTACTCACTTTCTCATGCACTCACCCAGCCACTCACTCACCCACCCACCAACCCACTCACTTTCTCATCCACTCACTCACCCACTCACCCACCAACCCACCAACCCACTCACCCACCTGCTCACTTTCTCATGCACTCACCCACTCACTCACTCACTCACCCACCCACCCACCCACCAACTCACCAACCCACCCACCCACTCACTCACTTTCTCACGCGCTCACCCAGTCATTAACCCACCCACCCACCCACTCACCCACCCACTCACCCACCCACTCACCCACCCCCCCACCCACCCACCAACCCACCCACCCACTCACCCACTCACTCACTCACCCACCCACTAACTCACCAACCCACCCACTCACCCACTCACTCACTCACCCACCAACTCACCAACCCACCCACCCACTCACTCACTTTCTCACGCGCTCACCCAGTCACTAACCCACCCACCCACCCACTCACCCACCCACCCACCCACTCACCAACCCACCCCCCACCCACCCACCAACCTACCCACCCATTCACCCACTCACTCACTCACTCACCCACCCACCAACTCACCAATCCAACCACTCACTCACTCACCCACCCACCAACTCACCAACCCACCCACTCACTCACTTTCTCACGCGCTCACCCAGCCTCTAACCCACCCACTCACCCACCCACTCACCCACCCCCCCACCCACCCACCAACCCACCCACCCACTCACTCACTCACCCCCCCACCAACTCACCAACCCACCCACCCACTCACTCACTCACCCACCCACTAACTCACCAACCCACCCACCCACTCACTCACTTTCTCACGCGCTCACGCAGTCACTAACCCACCCACCACCAACCCACTCACCCACCCACCCACTCGATTTCCTAACCAAATTACCTGTGCGCAGACGACGACGCGTTCAGACGCCCACCCCACCCCACAGCGATGCGATTGACATTTTAACAGAACACAAACAGATTTCGCAAATCGAATTTTTACTACCCTCCACGCACGCACCCATAAAGATAAAGACCCCCCGCCACAGGTGTAGCTTTGAGAGACGTATTGGGGCAAGTGCTGTGAGTAGCAGCAGCACCCGATGAAGGCCGGCAAACTGTGGCACACGAAGGGGTTTCGATCCCGACCCTGACGCCTGCTGCTGTATATTTGGAGTTTGCGTGTTTCTCTCTCTCATCATCATCACCACGGTGACTAGGAGATGTTAACGACCTCGCCTGGCTTGCAGGAGGTCGTGGGTTCGATCCCGACCCTAACGCCTGATGCTGTATATTTGGAGTTTGCGTGTCTCTCTCTCTCATCATCATCACGGTGGCTAGGAGATGTTAACTACCTCGCCTGGTAAACATGAGGTCGTGGGTTCGATCCCGACCCTAACGCCTGCTGCTGTATATTTAAGAATGTACGTGTCTCTCTCCCCTTGGTCGCGTGAAATTTTCTCCGGGTCCTCCGATTTATCCTTCTACATTTAGTATCAACGTCACGTGTTTGAAGTATGCGGCTGATAGAAATGGCCACACGATAATCCCATTTCGTCGAGCTCTTATTTGTCATAGCCAGGTCGCTTTTGCAAAAGAGTTACAGAGCTCAGTGGCCTTTACCTGGTTAGAATAATATCTAAGTTTAGTTTATAGGTTGTGAGCAGACGGTCTGGACCCCAAAAACACGAAGAATAACCCAGAACTTTGGCCTATTGATGATATCATAGGCCTTCGCCAGGTCAACAAATCCACGATGGAAGGCCTTTTGGAATGCCCTACACCTCTGCTGTAACATGCGAACAGATGAATTGCTGTGCGTGCAAAACCATCCTGGTCGAAACCACAGTGGTTTCACTCACTCACTCACTCACCCAATCACTCACTCACCCAATCACTCACTCACCATATTAGCAGGGTTGTCTACGTACGTTGTGAAAGAAGTTAAACATACATATGTATGATACAAGAGCCTGCATGCGGCGTGAGGGGACTAGTGGCCACGGGAGGTAATGACAGGGGAGTCAGCCTGCAGTGTTAATGGACTAGTGGCCACGGGAGGTAATGGCAGGGGAGTCAGCCTGCAGTGTTAATGGACTAGTGGCCACGGGAGGTAATGGCAGGGGAGTCAGCCTGCAGTGTTAATGGACTAGTAGCCACGGGAGGTAATGGCAGGGGAGTCAGCCTGCAGTGTTAATGGACTAGTGGCCACGGGAGGTAATGGCAGGGGAGTCAGCCTGCAGTCTAAATGCACTAGTAGCCACGGGAGGTAATGGCAGGGGAGTCAGCCTGCAGTGTGAATGGACTAGTGGCCACGAGAGGTAATGGCAGGGGAGTCAGCCTGCAGTCTAAATGCACTAGAAGCCACGGGAGGTAATGGCAGGGGAGTCAGCCTGCAGTGCGAATGGACTAGTGGCCACGGGAGGTAATGACACGGGAGTCAGCCTGCAGTCCAAATGCACTAGTAGCCACGGGAGGTAATGACAGGGGTAACAGCTGTGAGTGCGAATGGACTGGCAGCCACAGGAGGTAATGCCAGGGGTAACAGTTGTGAGTGTGAAGGGACTGGTGGCTACGGGAGGTAATGACAGGGGAGTCAGTTGTGAGTGTGAAGGGACCGGTGGCTACGGGAGGTAATGACAGGGGAGTCAGTTGTGAGTGCGAAGGGACTGGTCGTTACGGGATTATTCGAGAAGGGAGCGTGGTCAGGTGATGGAAGAGGACGGTAGAGTTTGCCGGTGGAGCGAGCGTCCAGTCAACGAGACGGATCGAGAAGGGGGGCGTGACCTGGGTTGGTATATAAGGAAGATGCGAGGGACACTCGGGGCTGTTACAGTCGGGGATCTCTGCCTGATGTCAAGTGAACGTGTCTTCAATAAAGTGCCACCTCAAGAGAAGTCTGTCAAGTCATCACTACACGTGTGTAATGACAGTGTGACACCTGCTGGCCTGGAAGGGGAATCACAGGTACGGGCACGGTTAAGTAACAACCAATCAGAGAAGGAGGTGCATCTGGGGTTCGCCGAGAAACTTCGGGAACCTGCTCGAAGGTTCCACGAGAGGGCCTGGGGGGATATAAGGAGGAGCGGACCCGGGGCTCGGGGCTCGTGTGTGAGGTCTTGGGTCCCGGCTGCGTTGCTGCTCGCCGACATCTCTCTCCGTCGTCCAGCCACGTGGAAGATCTCCTGCGTGGCTTCCATCGTCGTCATCGCCACGCCGCCAGCCAGCGGCGTAGCCGAGTGAGGGCGATGGGACCACGCCGAGTGTGTAGCCAGTATAGACGTTAATACCTCGTGTTGTACTGTGAGGAGGAATAAGTATTGGCCTGTGTTGTGCCCAGTGTGAGAAATAAAGAAGTACTCTTTACACGACGTATCGTGGAAGTTGCTCATTACACGTGCAAACCACGTGGTTGCACGAGGTGCCACGTGCGCGCGGTGCCGCGTGCTCGTGCCACACCACGTGGTTTGCACGCGGTGCCACGTGATCATGATCAGTGAGCACGAACTGTTGGGTGCAATACTCCGACTGATGCTCCTGCTGTTGTGGAGAGACTCATGCTGCCAGCTATGGCTGCAGGGTTTGGTGGTACATGTTGTTTGTCGTTTATTGTGAAAATTCCGTCACAGTTCCTATGATCACTGTATCATTGCTTTATTTTGATGATTTCGAAAAGTTTACTGGTTTGGCCACGTTTGTTTGTTGCAGTACGGAGTAAGACTGATGGCCTTAATCTTAGTTGTCTTGTGGTTGTTGGTGTACGGTGTTTTTTCTGCAATATTTTGCTGTCTTTTCTTGGATTTTCTGTTTGCACTTAGTCACATATTCACTTTAAGATGTTTTCTTGTTCATGTTTTTGTTTGTTGCGGTTGCACCCGATTCAAGAGCCGAATGGCTCACAGGGCTATACCTAATACATGAACATGAACTTGAACATGCTCACTCACATAGTCACCCACCCACACAGTCACCGCATCCTCTGATCATTATGGTTGGCTAC